CTTATTTCATGTCTGATTTCACTGGGCAGGAGGAACCAGAGATACCAGGGAAGACCTCTGGGAATTCATGCGCACCCATGGGTACCACATTGGCAATCCCTAGTCCACAGAGATCACATTGCTTCTCCTGCCTACTTTCACAACCAGTTTCCCAGAAAGTCTCTAGAAACCAATGAATTAACCATACCCAACCTGTGTGTCTGTCAAGTGCATTGAGCCTCCTGGAAATCCATAGGGCAAAGCCAGGCTGCTTTTAATCAGTTGGACTCGCCGTTACAATGACCCAGAACTGGCAACAAAGGCAGAAAAAGAGATTCAAAGACAATCTTATCACTGTCTCGAAATACTGGTATCAGCAGCCTGTGTACACACACATGGAACAGGGCAGATGCATTTGGCAAAGAGGCTTGAAAAGCTGCCTTAAAATTATACGCAGGGCTTTTCTTCCAGGAGGAACTCATTTCCGGTACTTTTCAGGTGGGCACCATTGCCATTCTAAGAGGGAGGCATTCGTGGTGAGTTCCAGCACCCCTATTTTTCTAGAAAAAATAGCGCTGATTCTACGTATGCTAAGAAAGCAAACATTGGGAGCAGGGAGAGCAAATAGGAATGGGGTGCAAGCATGGTCGGTCATCTGAATGGAAGACATGGTGGCAAAATTTAGAAGATGGCATTGGGGTGGCTGTGGTGGGGTGATCTTGTAGTTCCCCTAGTGAACTTTCGCTACTTTAACTCTTGCTTACGTTCTCAGACTTCCGGGGTGGCGCCATCGGTAATGGCGGATTCCCTCTGATCTGGAGGGACTGGCTCCACGGGAAACGGGTCTGTTCCGCTACGGCGAAGCGGGGACCCTCTAAAAAGTCACAGGCGGATGAAGCCTGTGACCATGGGACTCGGCGGGCACCTTTTGCGCCCCCCCAATTCGTAAAGGAACCCAATTACAGGCTCCGGAGCGAAGAGGGGTTAGTGGTGCAGTGCTGAGAGTCAACTGCTTCTTCCGTGGAGCGAAGCCGCACAGCCGTTGCCGGACAGCGCTACCTTTTTCCTGGGACAATTTGGCTACAAAACAACTACCCGTGAGCAGATCAAATTTGGACAAGTGGACTTTAAACAACGATCTGTGAGTAGAACGGAAAATTGGATTAAGAAATTCCTCTTAATTTGGCACTGAAGCGGGAAGGTCTAAACAGGAAGTCAGCCTTCCGTTTCTTGTAGATAGATTAAAGCAAAGACATGGCAAACTAGAGTGTAGAAAATCGTTTGTAAAGGATCAACTTTCATCATCTAAAATTACTGAACCCCCTTCGGAAGCAGGAGAAGAGGGGGGATTTTTTCCGGATTGCTTAAACCTGCAGAAGAGATTGTAAGAAAAGTAATTTTCCACCGTCTTGAGCATGGGAGCGGGATGTCAGGACAGACGTTTTTGGGAAAGTTCATTGACTATAGACAAATGTTTTTGACAGACAGTTAAAAGAAGAGAAACATAGTGATTCCATTGTGCTCTTTCGCAATTTAAAGGAACAAATATTGACAAAATATCTGAAAAAGGAAACTTTGTTGTTAGATCTGCTGTTAAAAAAAAGAAAAGAAAAGAGTTGGATACAAATAGAAGTTCTTCCCCTAGAGGGAGCTTGTGAAACTGTTACTAAACTTGAACTGGGAAGCAGCTGCAACAGATTAAGATCGTGGGAATAGACTTCTGACCTTGTATAACAATGTGCTCAGAGGCTCTGGTGCGTGCTTTCTGTAAAACAAGTGCTTTATTGGAACAGTTACATGAGAAGACGGATTTGATGACTGTTGCAATCAGAAATTTTGGACAGGTAGTGGGTATCTATATAGAACCCACTCAGGAATCAAATCAGGAATGTGCTCTGACAGATCAGATGAAGGAGGAGATCGTTGTTGGACCTCGGGTGGCAGAGATGGAGGGAGCTGTGGTCCAGCAGGAACATGAGTTGTTGGATTTGACAAATGAACTTGGAAAAAGCCAGATTTGGAGAGATAGAGTCTTGTTTGGTTTGGAGATGGGGGGCTGGATAGACCCCCCTATGCAGGGATGTTTTGACTTTTCAAGTCTGGCGTTGGGTCGGGAGGAGTTTGGAGTTGTGGGGGTCCTCAATTTTGGAGGGATCTTGAAAAATGTTTTTAAATACCACATGGAGTTCAGTGTGGACTATGGAAAAGGGGCTGATCTGTCGAGAAGGGATAAAAATACTGTCAAGCTGGAGTCTCCACGTGTGAAAGGAGCAGAAGACAAAGTAAAGTACAGGTATAAATATGAAGAAGATCTGCGGAAGGGACATGGAAGAGACTTAAGGGCCTCGGACATAAGGTTACCAGGTTAATGAACTAGATGGATGGGATAGAAAGGACTGACAAAACCCGTGACCAGGAGGAAGAGACGTTGGATGAAGATTGGAGAAAGTTTCAAAAATTCTATTTAGGAATGTTTTCTAAAATTAATGAGTATTAAAAAAGATGTTGGAACGAAATTATTTGGCTTTAGCAGAAATGTTAAAAAGAACTATGCAAGAATATGTCATGGTTATGAGAAATTGGTATAGATAAGACTCACGCTTTAAGTTTTAGGGTTTTTTATAGTAAGATAATGTTAAAATAGATTAAGGTAATTTAATGACAGAATATTATGAAAAATGGGAAGGATTTGCTGTGATAATCAATAACTAGAATACAAAAAAGGGAGGGGTGAGGAGGTCGATGAAATAAGGTAATGACAGTTAAGGATTTGGGAATATTGGATCTGTCTTTAAACGTTTGTGGTCTATTTTTGTTTTTTGATTTTGATGTGTTATGTGTTTTGTTTTTTGCTTTTTGCTTTTGATTTTTATTGACTTGTATTGTTTGACTGTGGTTTGTTTTTTCCTTGCTTTTTTCTCTTTTTTTCCTTTCTGACTTTTTTGTAATCTTAAAATTCTTAATAAATATCATTTTTAAAAAAAACAACTCTTGCTTACGTTCTGAACTTTCACAACCATTGCAAACCTGACCTGTTAAGTCTTAAACTAGAGCAGGAATGGGCAAGTTTCCCCGCTCTGGAGAAAATTGTTTTGGGCCCAAGGGGAGGGGGAAACATGTCAACTGTGGGTAGGGCCAAACCCAGTGGTGGGCGGGGCTTCCCCCTTTTCTTTTATACAGCACCCTCTTTTTCCTCCGCCCCCCCCTTCTCTCTCCAGCAAACTTCTGGGAAAGGGACATCTCACTCTTGCCTGAGACTTGAACTGATTGCTCGCAGAGGGCTTATGAAATCTGACTGAGGGCTGCACAAAATTAGCCCGAGGGCCACAGTTAGCCCATCCTTGTTCTTGACTGGTATCAGTTCCCTGTAGCCATGTTGACAGCCTCGCCCAGAAACTGAACACCGAATTCAAGTGCTTCCCATTTAGAGCTACTCAGCTGTTTCCATGCATGCCCCGGACTTCTCAGAGTAGGGCTATGATCAAGTCTTGCATGCTACCTCACACACACTTGTTTTGTTTATATAAGCATCGTTCTTGCCGTCATCGCGATCAAACAAAGAAGCCACTTCTTAGCACTGAAACTAGGAGGGTGGCTTTGGGATTTTTTATAACAAAACTGGATGTGCATACCTTTGGCAGGTGAGGCCGCTGTGAAAAATGTGGGTGTAGCAACTATGTTGGTTTTCTAATGTTTGGTTTTCATAGCTGCATGTTAAATTGGCCTGGGAGGAGGGTACAAGTTTAAAAATAAGGCAAAGGAGGGAGGAGAGTGCAGCCCACTGGTTTAATGGTCTTAAGCCAGGGATGATGGCTCTCTTCCATAGGCTTTGCTCCTCCTGTGCAAAATGTACATGAAAAGACCATGGATACACTGTTCAAAACCCATGCATAGGCCAGAATACTTCCCAACAGAAGGCGATAGCTAACTAAGTTGCACTCAGAATAGATCCCTTGACATTAATGGACACATGTCAGTCATGTAGCAGGAGACTCTTTAATCTTAATGTTGTGGGTTCGAACCCCACGCTGGGCAAAAAGATTCCTGAATCGCAGGAGGTTGGACTAGATGAGCCTTGTGGCCCCTTCCAGCTCTACAGTTCTATGGTTCTAGGTCTACTGATTTCAGCAGGTCTACTTTGGGAAGGACTGTTGGTGAAAATGGCCATGTCCCTTACCTATTACTGGTTAACTGAGATTTATCACACAAATAGCAGCTGAGGGAGGGAAATGTGTGAAATGGCACACTGACCAGTTCTGAAAAGTATCTGAAAGGATTGCTTTCAAGTTTAAAATTGCTACAATATCTAAATGTATCCCCAAAAGGGCTTCCTTCCTTCCCCACAATAAGCGGGTGTTGTACTCAAAATGACAGTGTGGCTGCAACAGATCATGCAGATAGCTGACTTGCTCCTACAAAATCTCTAGGAACGCAGTTGGGGTAGGCTCTCTGAAACAGACTGCAATTTTAGGATACAACTGCGAAGAGGCAAAACCTGCTTCTCATTCCTGCTACTGAGGTGAGCAAAAGCAGGAGACAGGTTTAACCCTGAAAGGCAAGTTCTGCCTCTTAGGTGCTTGACTTTCTTTTCTCCTACAAAGAAGAGCTGTCATCCATTCCTAGATAGAAGTGTTTTCTACTGGGCTGCTGCACAGGTGTTCACAAGCACACACACAAACACAGATCCTTGCTATATATAAGTCCGTGTCCCCCCCCCCCCCCCACATTTCCACCCACGATGATGAACAGGCATTGCAGAAGTACCAAAGACGAAAACTGGTCTCTTCAGGTTAGGGCTGTCAGAATGCATGACTGAAAATCAAAGATGCCTGGTAAGTAGCAAGTAGAACTGAGTTCTACTACTGCTCTCAGCTCTATTCTAAAAACAGGGTGTGTTCAAAATAGAAACAACTTAGAAGCACCAGATAATCAGCCAGTCCCCTGACTGGACGGATCTGCTTGAGCAATGTCACCTTTAACGTTCACAGACTGTGAAAGAGCCACAATGAAAGAGAGACAGCTAAAGGGGAAGAGGATGGAAGTACTTTAATTAAAAGCTCTCTCATTCCACCAAGCACAACACTGCAGACAGGGTCTCAGCAAGACAATCCACCTTGCCAAATACCTCGACTAAATCAACACTGCCTCTCAGCTTTAGCGTTCAGGCAGAATGGCCTCAGGGCTGAGATAATGAGGAAAGAAAAACCCACTTCAACAGCATTCTGCACTCACAGGCAAACAGCCAAGCATCTGCCAGACTTTCCCCTATTTGGGGATCAGTCTTTTCTACATAACACTGGTCTGGGTTACTAGGAAGCATTGTACATAAAAGCATTCACAACTGACAGGTGCTATCACAAATACAGGTAACTTGCATCTTATGCAGGGGTTCGGTTCTGGGGGTCCGCGTGTATATGCAAAAATAACAGGAACCCCTGGAACTGCCCCACCCCACAAGGTGTAAAGCCGCTTACCCAAATTTGAGAAGGCAGTGTGAGGCTCTGGCAGGGTCCTAGAGCCCTCCATCCTCCTCCTCTAAGTCTTGCAAGTGTTTGGCCAGCTTTGGAAAGGAGACTCAAGGGCTCTAGGACCCTGACAGAGCTCTTGTGCCTTCTTCCCTAAGCATAGCACCTCACTTACCCAGCTTTGAGAAAGTAACACAGGGACTCTGGGATGATGCCAGAGCCCTAGGACTGCCTTCCCTAAGCCGAGTAAGTCCACTTTGTGCACGTGGGTGGGAAATAAATAAATGGAGAGCAGGTTTCTGCTGCTCTCACTTATTTATTTGCCCACAAACACCTGCACAAAGCTGTGATTGCATAAGTAACTTTAAGATGCAAGCTTCTTTGCCTGCACGTCTTGGAACCAGCACAGCGTGCATTTTTTATTACTTTGTTTTTATTTTGGACAATTTTCTTATAAAATTAGGGGTGCAAATGTCTCTCTCCATTGGCTCTGATAGTAGCAGCTTGAAAAAGTTCTGCCATATATCCATTTCATGTAGCTTAGGGAATCCACTGTGGCCTGCTGGTAGACAGGAACAACTGCTGGCAGCAGAAGTAACAGGCCTCCCCATAGCATTAAAAGAGATTTCCCAGGCTTGCAGGAGAATTGCTTCTGGATTACAGAAGTTTACAAAAGGTGCTAGTGGATCAGGAAACCTTTTGCTCTCTGGGATATGCTGAAAGGTCAATTCAGATACTGGTGACTCAGAAAGCCAAGCAGCTTAAAAACGTGGAAAAATAGTTCTGGGTGTCTTCCTTTCTCAGGCTTTCCATTTCTTCCTTTTCCCACCAGCCACTTTGTTCCTGACCCCCATTGCTCCCTCGGTGTCATCCTCTTCCTTTTCCTCTTCTCGGGAACGCTTCTTCTTTTCCCCCTGCTGCCGCAACTCCTGCAAGGAAAGCCAGACAGCAAGTTGCTTGAGCATTCAAAGCATGGAGGCACAGAAGCAATCAAGAAGCTCAAGAGCTGAAAGCGTAATACCTTCAGTCACCGTGCAGGGTGGCCGGTAAACATTGCACAAACAGAGCCAAAACCCAGCTTGCAAGGATGCATGAGGGAACACAGTGCCCCTTATAACCAGGAATGGCTTTGTGTAGAATTAGCTAACAATACTCTCAATGTAGTACAAATCCTAATGTTTCAGCCACACCTCTGCACAATAGAACCCCAATGATTTGTTGCACGTGCATGTCCACAGAGAAACAGACCCATACAGGTCTGCAGAAGCGCAAACATAGCCTTAAGTTCAGCCTACCATCCGAGCAAATCGCTGTGCTTCAGCCACACGTTCGGTCAGCATCATGACCTCCTCCTCTTGCGTGGGGAAGGCAGGCAGCTTCTTTCCTATCAGGTGCTCGATGCGCTGGAAGAGCTCCACATCGTACCTGGGGGAAGTGAGACAAAATATTTCATCCGAATGGTTCTTCTTAACTAGTGGCCCATAAACTAATTAAGAGCCCACCCCCTAAAAAAAAAGCCTCTTCCCCCAACTCAGTTGCATTTCCACTTCAGAAAGCTGCTTCCCCACTCATTCAGAGGAGAGGAGTAAAGGTTGTGGCCCAGCGGAAGGAGCAGAGGGCACGACTTACTGTGTGACAAACGTGATGGATTTTCCAGAGCGCCCAGCGCGAGCCGTTCTCCCCACACGATGAATGTAATCCTGAAAGGCATCCAGAATAAGCCACAGAACGAAAGGCAAAGCAAGGCAAAACACCATTTGAAAAGAAAGTGTAATCTGAAGCAGTTATGCAAGAGACACAATGCTCACTAGACGCAGCTCCTTTTGGATAGGTATTCCGTATGTTTCAAGAGTGTCTAAGGAGGTGAAAAAGATGGGCTTGACCATGTGGCTGTAGCCATCCACCTCCTCATACAGTTGCAGGCATTGTATCTTCACAATAATATTTTTTATTTTTAGATTCTATAGCACTCCGTAGAAAGGCTTCACAGGCAGTTTAATAATATAGCAACCATAGGCAACATCCATGAAACAAGTTTGTAAACCCGCATTCATAAAGTGTCGCAGAAGACAAATATGAAACCCAGCAATTCTCTGAATTAAAATGAACAATTCAGATTAAAGCTCTGAATGGATTACTTCGAAGGCCAGTAAAGAAAGGAGACAAGCAAAGCTTCCTGGGCAGGCAGTTCTACAAATGGGGCAATGCACCAAGCAAAACTAAGAAGGCACTCCTAGCCACAACTGTTCATCCAAGAATCAAGCAGCAAAGACCTATGCCAGAACACCCTCAAGTTGCAAGTCTGAGCCTTCCAAGGAGTGTAGTCACATCTAGAGCAGGACCAGCTCTCTGAGCTAAAGACCCATCTAACCCCCATTGTCTTATTGGTGCATTAATGGTTCCCCATCCTTTCAACACTCAGCTTTTTGAGGGCTCACATGGAGGTGGGGGTTTTATTCCATCGCTATGGAATCCTATGTTGCAATTATGGAAGAAGAGGGCCATCTCTTTCTGCAAACTCCACTAGGACATCTCAAACTCGGGGCTGCACAATTGTAACCCAGCACCCTGCCTCCGTAACTCACCTTGGAATGGGTAGGAATGTCAAAGTTCACGACAACATCCACATGGGGGATGTCCAGGCCTCTGCTGGCAACATCGGTAGCCAGCAGAATGGAACGTGTTTTAGCCTTGAACTTGTTCAGCGACCCTAATCGCTTATTCTGGGGGGAGTGAGAGAGAGAAAGGGCAAGTGAACATACTTTAGATTTTTCCAGCGTGGAAAAGCGAAATAAGTCAGGTTTTGTGAATCGTTCCACCGTTACAGTCTGTTCTTCTACAGAAATGAAAGTCTGTAAAAGATAAGCTAACAAAAGGGAAAGCAGGCTTGGTGACACATACAAATCATATTTGCCCTTAAAATATGTTCATTATTTCAGTGTGGTATTCCGGAAATGAATACTTTGCGTTCAGGTCAGCCTGTACCTGGCTCATCTGACCGTGGAGAGGGATGGCAGTGAAGCCCAGATTTCTAAGGAGGAGGGCTGTCCTCTGAGTGTTGTTGCAGGTGCTGCAGAATATCATGAATGAGTTTCCAGCAAGTTCATTCAGAATATAGACCAGGTAGCTGTCCTAAAAAGAGAAAAGAAAAGAAATTGAAATAATTGAAAGGAAACTAATGGAGATTAGGTGAAAGGAAAACACATTCAAAAAGCACAAAGGGACAGAGAAAATCCTAGTGGAGTAAGCAACAACAGTCAGGAAATAAGTTAAAGGAAACAAAATAGCTGAAAAAAATAAATGTTACCTTGAACTTGGAAGGGATGAAGACATAGTATTGCTGCAGTTTTTCAACTGTCTGGTACTTAGTTGAAACAGCACATTTGACAGGGTCCTTAAGGGCTGCACGCTGGAGTTTTTGCACCTGAACAGAAATAATTAATGTTTTCAGACACAAATTTAGCTGGTATGACCTGTTAATTTCTACCTCCACCTTAGCTGAACTCATGCAAAATGCCACACCTTCCCTTACCTTTTTAGTCATGGTAGCAGAAAAGAGAAATGTTTTCCTGTCTCTGGGAATGACTTTCAGGATCTTGTCTACCTGTGAAAAGAGAAGGCAAGTGACAGTGAAAAAACTAGAAAGGTAATTATTGTGCATGCAGACGAATACTGCATCACTGTGGGAGTGGTATCACAATCCAGTCTGATGAAAGCAACACTGGAAGCGCCTCCTTTGAAAAACAAGGCACTCTACTGCTCCACAGAAAGGAGGGAGTGGTGCTGTTAGGGTCGAGGAGGACAGAGGCAACATGGGGGAGAAAGCATCCCAATGCCTTCAGATAAGGTCTTGCTACTCGGGCTACAACTGCAGATTACTACACATGAACCGGGACAGATGAACTGGGACTCTGGATAGCAACCTGAGCAATAGTTGATAACAAGACTACAATTCTAGTATCCAAATGCCTTGCTACATCTTAAAACCTAGTACAGTGGACCCTCCAGATACGAATTAAATTCATTCCGGGGGTCCATCCGCAACCTGAAAATCCATAGGCAGAGGCGCCGCTTCTACGCACGGTGCGATTAAGCGCTTCTGCGCATGCACGCAAGGCAAAACTTGGAAATATACACTTCCGGGTTTGCTGCGTTCATAACCTGAAAGTTACATATCCAGAGCAGTACGTAACTAGAGGGTCCACTGTATCTGGAAATGTTTCAGATCCCAACAGTCAACAAGGATCCACTGGAGAGGGAAACACAGGAAGCATGTCACCATACTGTCAGCTGCTAAGTGGTGAAGACAACAGAGGCTGTGTGTTCCACATTAGGGAATCAAACAGAGGCAAGTCCCATTGACCTGCAGGTCCTACAGCCCATCTTGGCTGTGAACTCAGGAAGACCTGCTCTCTGCCTTGACGTTCTTCCACCTTGCCTGAGAGGGCGGGGCCAGGACTGACTGCAGCTGCAAAAGCTGCTGAACAGACCCTTGGGCTGTGGTATTGTTTAGGGTGCTTGGTTGGGTTTTGTTGCTGTTACTGACATTAACTTTTGTATCTTTATTTTTCAATCTTATTATGATTATGTGGACACTGTTCCAATTTGGTTGTGTACTTTTTATGTATTTTATTTATTGGTTAATGAATGTTATGTTTTTAATTCTTGTCATGTAAGCCACCTTGCGTGTGATGATGATGGTGATTAAAGTACACGGTAAACGGTTTTGAAAAGCACCATCTCCATGATGTTGCAAAGGACCATTCTAAGGCGACAAGAGTTGACAGTGCTCACCTCTGTCTCAAAGTCCATGTTGAGGATCCGGTCAGCTTCATCCATAACTAAATACTTCAGAGCTCTCAAATTGAAGCCCTTTGTGTTCTCAAGGTGGTCAATAAGGCGGCCAGGTGTAGCTACAGGAGAAAACCAAACAAACTTTCAACTTTACCAAACAGAGCATTCAAAAAGAAACACTAAACACAACACACACAGCACTATTGTCATGTATCCCCCATTCACTCCAGTTTGCCAAATCTCAGAGTCCCATGACTTCCTTCTGCCAAAAGCCTTTGTAAGCACAGCCACTGGAGTATGGATTAAGTCAGAACTTTATGCAGGTTTAATACGGCATGGCTAGTTGTATCCCAGTGGGGTGTGTGTGTGGAGGAGGCTTGACGTAAATCAGGAAGTTATTTTGAGAGATTTGCTCCATGGAGGTTGCAGTCAAGTCTGGTCAACCTAATACAGTTTTTCACTCTCAAGCCAGATGACAAATACTCCAGCCCTTCCAGTCAAGCAGCACGCATCAGTTAACACTTATGAGAGAAACATTAATTTATCAGAAATGATAAATGAGCAAACTTGTGGCTCAAAGGCAAATGCTCTGCCTGAGCCATGTGGACCCTAGGATGAAGTTGGGGGAGGTGGGGAGAATTCCCATGTCTGCTCCTGTTTCAAATTAAAGTACAAGACCTGTGGCTGATGCTTAGCATTAAACTGGGAAGGTATCAGAAGTGTGAATAAAGGAGATGTTTGCTGGCCTACTGCTTTTCATGACCTCATTTATGCAGATGTAAAAGACACAGATGTGCAATAGGCCTCTTTCATATGAATTATTAAGATCTCATTACAATCATTTGAATCATTGATGCTGCCTGTTTCTTACCAATTATTACATGTGGTTTCTTGGCTAGGGCCAGAGACTGCGCCATCATGTCAATTCCTCCCACAATAACAGCTTTGAGGGGAGAAATAAAAGACAAGTTAAATGAAGCCCATTGAAATTGAGCCAGTTCACAACCGCCCTCCCCATCACCTCCTTTACAAGAAAATAAAAGGCAAAATTCAGTATTGGAACTGGATTACTACGTTTAGATGCTACGAGGCATTCTTCAAACAAGACACCCAAACACTGACAAATACATATTATAAAAAAGAACCCTGCATTAGCTTCAGGAAGCAAGTCTTAGCCAAGCTTCCATTCTATTTCATAGGGACTAGTGTAAGCAGCTCCAACCAAAACAATCAACTGCTACATATTCGGGGGGGGGGGGACCTGCAAGAGGTAAATAATGAATCCAAAGCAAACAAGTTTGATGCTTAAAAGGCAATTAGATTATGAAACTGGAATAAATTGTGCAAACCAAGCACTCTTCATTTGCATGGCTTACACAATTTTTTTTTGGGGGGGGGGGATACACATGGAGAAATATTAACGGTGAGAGTGAAATAAGACCCACCTAATTAAATCTCTCTCTGCTTGCTTCTTTGTTTTTAAGAGAAACTGCCAGAAACTTCCAGTGTTAACTTTTCGATCATAAGATGGGTGTGTTTTAGCACAAACCCACCTAATTTGCAGTTCCTTCATTGATATGCAGACCAGAACACAATTAACAACCAGGTTGCGAACTTCCCCAAATTTTACAAAGCAGTTTTGGCTTCAAAAATATGTAAAAAGAAATGCAAAAGAAAAAAAAAACACAAATGAGTGTTTGGGGGGACATGCTTGAAATATGTGTATTTTGGGGAAGAGCACACACAAACGAAAGTATTTTTGTATCGCTTTTAAAAACAGGAAAGAACAAATTTATGGATTGAATGCATGCGAAACTGACGAGGAATGAAAATAGGCTGCTCCATCCACCTCTACTAGAGGCATACTAAGATTCACACTTTGAAGTGGGATATAGTCCCATTTCTTGAATCTGATATTTTACTATTCTTATTTTGAAAAGCATGCGACTGCTTCTTCTCCTTACAAATTCCATTTTGTTTTCTGCTAATTCTTAGCACTGCAGCAAGGCCACTCACCACTCTGGACACCAATGGAAGATCCAAGGGCCTCAAACTGCTCCGAGATCTGAAAGGCTAACTCCCGGGTCGGGGTAAGGACCAAAGCAAAGAAGCGCTGAGGTGTCTCTAGCAGTGCCTGAAGGATGGGCAATGCAAAAGCCCCCGTTTTCCCAGATCCAGTCTCTGCTAAGCCAATGATGTCACGGCCTACAAGAAAAGAGGTGTGTCACATGCAGGGCTGAAGGAATACAACAGCACAGATGGAGGAAATTCAAAAGCAGTTCTGGAAAGTAACAAGAGCAGCACTAGAACAGAAATCTTTGCACTAGTGACAGCTTGAAATCAGCTAACATAACTTAAGAAACATCAACCAATGTAATAAGCGTATTATTTGAAGATACAGAGTACAGGCCATGGAAGATTTGTACAAGACCCCTCTTCTAACAGCTCCTCAACCTTGGCTCTTACCAAGGGAAGGAAAAGAAGCTGGCACAGGAAGAGTAGCAGCAGTGGATATCTGCACTACTAAACACTCCATGAAGAGTTTCAATAGACATTTCCCTTCTCTGTTTAATTGTCTTATTGTACAGGTAACATTTTGGAGGGGAGTTAATGAAAATGGAAGTCTCTCCTGACAAATAACATATTTGAATACACCACCGAGAAAAGTAATATTAAAGCATTTTCAACCAAGTCAGATGGGTGGGGTACAAATAATAATAATAATAATAATAATAATAATAATTCAGTCATAGAATTGTAGAGTTGGAAGGGGCCCTGAGGGTTATTGAGTCCAACCCCCTGCAATGCAGGAATCTCAACTAAAGCTTCCATGGCAAATGGCCACCCAACCTCTGCTTAAAAACCTCTAAGGAAGAACAGCCAACCACGCCTCGTGGGAGCTCAACAGCTCTTACTGTCAGAAAGTTATTCCTGATGTTTAGCCGCAATCTCCATTCTTATGACTTGAACCCATTACTTCAACTCCTACTTTCCGGAGCAGAAGAAAAAAGCTTGCTCTATCTTGCATGTGGCAGCCCTTTGGATATTGGAAGATGCCTATCATATCTCCTCTCAGTCTCTTTTGGTTTGAACAAAATTGGCTGTCTCACTGCTTAAAAAAGCCCAGGTCCCACTTGACTTCTTGCTGATGGGGCTTCCCTACAAATGGTACAGCTCCCCTGCCAGAAGATTTGTGGAGTTGGGGAGATTTACACTTCTGCCGCAGGACAGACCAGGAAGCTGTATTGCTTCATAGACCAAGCTGAGAGGAACTCCACATGGATCCAAGTCTGTGTAATACAAATGACTGGCAATACCAGTTCTATAACACAAGAAACACAGGAGAGCCTCTTCTTATTTCTAGAAAGAGATTTCTCTTTTTCCAAGTCTCACCTTGGAGTGCAACTGGAACGGCCTCGACTTGGATCTTTGTCGGTGTCTTCCATCCCAACTGATCACAGGCTTCACACAGCACATCGGTCACTCCCTATTATTCCAAAGAGAAAAGAAACCATAATTAGCAAGGGACCCCAATCTTCAGAATCCAGCAAGTCCTGGTTCACACAACTTGATAAACCCATCTATCGTCTCCTGTCCTTTTAGCATACTGCAGCATGCCACCTAAGCAAAGGTTGGCCTGCGATCTCCTCCCAGGGAAACTGCGTGTTTGCGCTAAGCCATTGTTTGGTTGTTAAATGTGAACCTGACCATGGTCTTTTCAATTAGCTATAAGTATTATTTTCATCTCAAAACTTTGATAACTTGAAAACATGGGACCCTTTAAAAAAAATAAAAACAAGCAAAATAAGAAAAGGGACACAGGTGCTGTGGATAGGCCAAGCTTCTCCTCACCCAAAAGGTAAAAGGTTAAAGGACCCCTGGATGGTTAAGTCCAGTCAAAGGTGATTATGGAGTGTGACGCTGATCTCACTTCAGGCCGAGGGAGCTGGCATTTGTCCACAGACAGCTTTCCGGGTCATGTGGCCAGCATGACTAAACTGCTTCTGGTGCAACGGAACACTGTGATGGCAACCAGAGCACACGGAAATGCCGTTTACCTTCCTGTCACAGCGGTACCTATTTATCTACTTGCACTGGCATGCTTTCAAACTGCTAGGTTGGCAGAAGCTGGGACAGAGCAATGGGAGATCACCCTGTTGTGCGGATTTGAACCGCTGACCTTTTGATCAGCAAGCCCAAGATGCTCAGTGGTTTAGAGTAGACCACAGCACCACCTGCTCCAAACACCTGACCTTACCTGGGTCTGTTAGTAAAGGTAAAGGGACCCCTGACTATTAGGTCCAGTCGTGACCGACTCTGGGGTTCCGGTGCTCATCTCGCTTTATTGGCCGAGGGAGCCGGTGTACAGCTTCCGGATCATGTGGCCAGCATGACTAAGCCACTTCTGGCGAATCAGAGCAGCGCACGGAAATGCCGTTTACCTTCCCACTGGAGCGGTACCTATTTATCTACTTGCAGTTTGACGTGCTTTCGATCTGCTAGGTTGGCAGGAGCTGGGACCGAGCAACGGGAGCTCACCCCGTTGTGGGGATTCAAACCACCGACCTTCTGATCGGCAAGTCCTAAGCTCTGTGGTTTAACCCACAGCGCCACACACACACCCTACCTGGGTCTGTTGTGTCAGGGTAAAACTGAGAAATCGTATTTTAGTTCCTTAGCAGGATGGCAACACACAACCATGTAGCAAAATATCTCTTTACACAGGAAACCACATTTAATCTTTCTCCTTTCGTTTTGTCCACTGCAGTGCCTTAGGACATTGTCGGTTTCAAAGCAAGACGCAAACCCGCTAAGCAATTCTGAGAGCTGAGCTAACAGACCATAAACACCCTCACCACCAACCAAAGTATAATATAACCCCTCTAGCTTTCTCTGCACAGGCGCTTTCCCGTGGTTTCAATGGGGCATTTTCTCAGTGGGGAAAGAAAGCTTGTATAAGCGACTAGTGGGAAATGACTGCCACGCTGTACAGCACTACCTAGCTGGGCGACCCCAGCCTTGCGCACTGCGATTGCCTGGCTGCTTCCAGAAATGCTCCCCCCACCATAGCAGCTCCTCTGCAGAACATAGCAGTGCGGGGCGGAGGGGCAGCTTCGTCTACTCCGGTGCAATGGCTGGACTTGGGTTTTAAAATAAAATTCAACAGGCAAACCCCTGGGCAAGTAAAGGGTCGTGGGGAGCTAAGAGAGACAACGAGTCTTCCCCGCTCACCAGTTCTTGGAAGGTCTTCGCGGTCTCCTCGACGGCTCCCTCGCCCTCCATGCCGGCCGCCACGTTCGGCTCCCACTTCGCTTTCCGGGTTGCCGCGAGGTACCCTGGGACCCGTAGTCCAAGCGCGTTCGGAACGAGCCTCTGAGCCGCAGAGATAGGAAAAGGGTAGAGTTACGCGCGACGCCAACTTCCGATTGCAGTGTAGCCGTCTTCCACTTCAATGGAGAACATTGTGCCGGAATTTGGAGGCGCTTAACGGGGAAAGAAACCTGCCCCTTATACTTCGGGTGTTATTTCCTGCGGCGAATATAATTGTTTGGAAGCACTTAAAAACAAAACAAAAACAACACGTCTCTGGTGTAGTGGTGAGAGTGTAGGATCTGCACATAGGAGGAGATCTGAGTTCGAATCCCTACTCGGCCTCGAAGTTCGCAGGGTGATCTCGGGTAAGTCAACACATCTCGCAGGGTTGTTGTCATCATGAGCGTATTATGGAGCTGGGACGAGCCATGCATACCCTATTGCCCCTTCTCGAGCTTCTCGCAAGACGCAAGAACTTCGTTAGAAAAGCCACGAGCTGCTGCTTTTTACTGCTCCTTTTTGTTCGCATGTGGGAGCCCTGATGCCTAGTCACACAGCCACGTAAAATCCCGGCTTTCTCCATTAATTTTTATGGACAGCGCTGACTTCCTCCCCGGGTGAGATTTAAAAATGGATTCCAATGTAGAGCTCAAAAGTTTATATACAGTGCATGATATAATGAAAGATGTGGTACTCTTCATTCTATTATCTCTGTAGTCCAAAAAGCCGCGAGGGCTGCTGTCCGCGCGGAGGGTTCTGGGACTTGCAGTTCACCTCTGGAGGGCAAGAGAGGTCGGGAACTAACAAAAGGAAAATAGCTGCGGGGACGACGAGTTCGGAAAGAAAAGGGAGCACTTTTGTCGTTCAATAAATAAACGTTAGGAGATCCCGAGGGGTTGGGGGAAGGGAAATAAAATGCATATATTTATTTAACAAAATTTATTCAACAACATATATATTCTGCTTGATAGAACCTCTGAGTGATTTAAAATTTAAGTTTGTCTGTTTGTTGAACTTGTTAGTAACTTTATTTTGTTCAGGAAAATCCAAAGCGACTTACAACCAAACCTAAACATAAAACATAAACTAGTTTTGATGTGTTGGGATCTGTAATGGTCCATTGGGGCACCATGATGGGGAGAGTCGAAAAGCAACTACAATGGTACCTCGGGTGACAGACGCTTCAGGTTACAGACGCTTCAGGTTACAGACTCCGCTAACCCAGAAATAGTGCCTCAGGTTAAGAACTTTGCTTCAGGATGAGAACAGAAATCACGCAGCAGCGGTGCGGCAGCAGCGGGAGGCCGCATTAGCTAAAGTGGTGCTTCAGGTTAAGAACAGTTTCAGGTTAAGAACAGACCTCCAGAACGAATTAAGTTCTTAACCCAAGGTACCACTGTATAGTTCCCTATCTTTTATTATGATAGAAACAACAAAGCTGTTGATAGCATTTTTTTAAAATGAAGTTTTTAGTTACATCTTCTTCTGAAGCTGATGCTGTATTTAATTGGCTTGCATTTGTTTTTTATTTTTTTTTAATTATTTTCTTAAGTTGCACAAAAAGAGGTCAACACAAAAGAGGCCTCATAGCAACCCTGTTGGCTAGGCTGAGGAAGGGTGACTGGCTCAAAGTCACGCAGCAAAGTTTTGTGGGTAAGTGGCCCTTTGAACCCAATCCTCCGAGGTATACTCTTGGCCCTCTAGCCACTGCTGGGTCAGGCTAGCAAAGGACACTAAATCACATAGCTCAGTTTGATGGTTTCTGGATTGTCGAGGAAGCATTCCCTTTGTGCATGTTCATAAGTGCACCTCTCAAGTGTCTTTTTAAAAACGTGGCAGCAATCCTCAGTTGTACATGTGTTTTAACAAAATAGCAGGGAGGGGACTAAAAGTCACAAACTGTATGAAAGTAGAGGGTTCTTCACAGACTCACACAGCAACATCTTACTCAGCCTTTTGATATTAGATTCAATAAATGAGCCTAAGAGATTTGCCTGCAAATCTTGCAAAAGGAAACTTGTTGAAGGGCTGGTATAAATCCTTATGATTAATAATACCAAATAAAATCAGAAGCAGTTCTTCCTTGGATGTGGACTATTTGCCAAACCTAAACCTAGCAGTTGGTTGACAGTGATTTTCAGAAAGTCACAGCAAAGTATCCCCAGGGACTCATTCTGGATACTGAAGGATCTCCGATACCCAAGAGGCATGATTGCAAAAATTCCTGGCTACGTGCGTGAGCACTGTGGAAATGATGACGTCCCTGAGCCCTCAGTTACTGGAGTCCAACTATGCTACATCCTGTCCTTATATAACAATAGGCAATAGGCAGGAAATCTAAACAAGCACTCTGTGTGACAGATAGCATTAGCGAGCCCAGAAGCCCAAAGCTCCCTCATGAGAAGAACTTGTAAAGAAGCAGATTGATTCTGCTTTGATTTAAGGAGACGGCCAGTGTGCTTATTTTTCACCCCTTAATACCTACACAACCTGCATGTTTGAAAATAAATGCATTATTACGAATGCACTTTAACTCTCCATTAACTATATTCAAAGCAGCCTGCCTCCACTAAGGTTGCTGTGGCATTCCCATTGCTTGAATAAGCAGTTTTGTGAGTAAACAATATATACAAATAGACGCAGACACAAGGTAATTTGTAGTTTGTATTGGATCAGAGTTAGTTATCGGTGCAAGTTGTTCATTGGTTTTACAAATACCCAAAATAGCAAGCAGATCATTTTGGCCACTTCTCTTGTCCCTTTCCCCAAAGAGCAGAAAGTCAAGGATCAGTTTAGAGGAAGCTTACCCCGTACCCAAATTCCTTAGGATCCAGTGCATTTAAATCTTGTCTCTTGCCCACCATTCCACACTTTAAGATTATAATGTGTCTCCTTTCACCTGAGCCACAAGCGAGGAAATAAAGAGCATCGAACAGGTCTTTGAAGTATAGCATCACTGTGTGTAATCTATGGCCTAGTTCTCACCAAGTTGGTAAACCTGCGTCTGAGCTTACATGCATCTTTCAAACCTCCTTATCTTCACAGGCCACCCGTACCATTATGCAGTGTCCTCCCCACTACTCATGTAAAGTTGTTTTGCCCTCGTAAGCAACATACCCACTGCCTAGTTCTACCTCTTCTCTCTTCCAACTTTTCATTGCTGTTTTCCTAGGGATACCATCCCACAGAGGAGAAGTAACCAGAGGAGAAATGATGGCTGGGAGGAAGGCGGAGAGAGAAAACGCCATAATGTACCTGTAACAGCAGAACCGAATGCTTTCATCTGCCCCAGCTGCAATAAAACATGTCTCTCCCATATTGGTCTCTACAGCCACAGCAGGCGCTGTAACTCTCCAATGGTTTGACTGTACCCCTGATGGTGCACTATTCCATTGTCTCTCTAGACAAATTGATGCCAACAAGAACAGCTGTCCTATCTTCTACCTAATTCTTCTGCTTAGTTCTTGCTCATCAGCAGTGTTTTGAAGACACAAAACTGACATCACAAGTCACCCTCACATCTGCATATACTTCCAAACATTTGCATATCATAAGCTCTCTCTTAGAGTAGGGATGGGGAAATGTGTCTGTCAGCTTTGGTTTCCCTTGGTTGCTCATTTTTCTAATTGTAAGTTCAGTTCTCCACTTTTCAAATCTTAAAAAAGGGAGAAGTGACTTTTTAAAAAAATTCACACGTGAATTGCTAGTCCCATCTGCTCTTCTTTCCCAGGTCATTTGATGGCGGGGTCTGTGGGGAACTGACATGGGGAAGGGGACATCAAACAAGGATATTGCCGTGCCTCAGATATAACAAACTTTGGCTCCGTAGAATGAGCTCTTCCATCTTGTAGTGGCTGTATTATTATTTCTTTAAATAGAAACTTCATATCCACGTTTAAATTACCCAAAACAAATAAATACAAAAATATACCAATACAACATGTCCCTGAGCATGGGGGGGGGAGCACCCACTTTAGATAGGTGATAGTTAAAGCTAGGAATGGTAGCTGTTGCCTACTAGGTTCGTAGGGCAGAAGGCAGGGAGGCCAACCATATTTGAGCCACAGCCAATAGCAGGTGGAGGCATGGAACTGATTCTACCTTTGTCCCCATCCTCCCTGTTGAGTTCTACAAGGGCAAAACCAGGAGTGAGGAGAAGGAAGCAGGCAGGCAGCACCCCCTCCCAGGCCTGGTTTAAAGGAATAAGCACACAGGAATCAAGAGGAATCATGGGGATTCTTTAGCTGTGATTCCTACATTGCAGGGTGTTGGACCTGGTGACCTTCTCTGGGCACCTTCCCACTCTATGATTCTAAGACTGAAGTTAGTGGAGCCTTAATTTGCCTGCCTGTACCGGAAGAATGCATGATAAAGAGCGGATGAATTTTGAGTGACAAACCAAAGCCAAACTCATTAAACTCCTGCCGCACTTGCGAGTACAATTCCCATCCGCTACTAAGAACATCACTGGAAAATATTCAGGTTCATTCAGGCTCTCTGGCCTTTGACTCCCTCATTATCTGCCTCGCAGAGCTTTGGAAACTGCAAGTTCTGGAATCTGCAGCCATTTCCTTCCTAGGCTGGCTCTGGTTCCCTCACGACCACAGTTTTCACCTAGCTCAGCGCTGTGGGAGAAAAATTTAATCAGCTTTGGCAAGTGTCCCCGTCTACTTCTCCTGATTACCCTGGGTAGGTGGGGGTGGGGGGAGGGAAAGCATAGCGGTCAATGTTTCCCTTTTTTAAAGGGAAATTCCCTTATTCCGAATAGGATTCCTTGCAAGAAAAGGGAAAAGTTGACAGCTATGGGGGAAAGTATGCTGGAGTACATGCATGCAGAAGCATTAATTGCATCGAGTTCAGTGTTTTAGCACCAAATGGGAAATGTGGAAGTCTCCCCCAACCCCCCTAAAAAAGCAAGGTATGATGTGCTGTGAGACAGCCATATGCAGACACCAGACCTTGAGATGTGCTGATATCATAGACCAGCACTTGTGTAGCTACAATTTCTATTTGCTGTGCACAGACATAACAGGAGAGCAATACAGACTGAGGCCCTGAGGGGTGTTGGCTGCAAGTATTGAGAAATGCCTGGAGAAAACTCTGATTTGGCACAATCCTAACAGGAATAACACAGTATGTTTTAGGTCTTTTAGGCCCCCTTTGCCGTTTTCAGAGGATGTGGGTGATTTTGTCCCTGGACATCCTCCTAGAGTGCTATTCTTCTTGTCTTCAGGGGGGATTCTTTCCTGTTCTCCAAAAGTTCGCAGATCTCATCCATGGGCCTTGCACAGGCTTCTAGGCTTTCTGCCAGCTTCTGGACTTTTGCCTTGAGCACAGCATGACTCACTTTGGTCACCTCTTCGTTGTGCTCGGGGACCAGGAAGCTGTGGGAGCCGCAGAACACCATGAAGCAGATGGAATTGTACAGTGTGACAGAGGCGTTTCTCTCAGCCGGCAGTAACCTAGGATCCGTCGGGCCCTGGCTGCGGTGCAATAATTCCAGGCAGTGCATGATTTCTCTCATCTGAGCATGGCAGCTCACTGCAATCTCCTTGACCTTCCTCACCTCCCTGGAATTAGAGAGGACTAAGGAGAGGTCGGAAGTCACTGTGACGGCCCCTCCTGCAGCCGCCACTCCTAGGCCTACCCCGGAAGCCAAAAGGGATGCCCCTAATGTTGCAGGGCTCAAGGACAACCCCACGATGGCCACGATGGCTCCTGCGGCACTTAACGAACTCCCAGTGAAATTGGCAATTAGAGAGCGTCTGTGCAGTTTGTTGATTCTCCGTGAAATCTCCCGGAGACTCCTGATGTGCTCCCGAAGCCTGCTTCTCTGATCCAGCAGTACGACATGGAAGTGATGTGTAGGATCAAAAGTGTGAGGGGGGAAGTTGTCCTCCATAACCTTGATGGGAAGCTGGGGGGAGGGGAGAGAGAAGAGCATTTAGAAAGGTAACAGCACACTCTGGCAGGCAGGCCTGCAGATGCATCTGGGACATTGACACCACCTTTCCCCCTAGTACAGTGGTACCTCAGGTTAAGAACTTAATTTGTTCTGGAGGTCTGTTCTTAACCTGAAACTGTTCTTAACCTGAGGTACCACTTTAGATAATGGGGCCTCCCCCTGCCACTGCTGCGCAATTTCTGTTCTCATCCTGAAGCAAAGTTCTTAACCCAAGGTACTATTTCTGGGTTAGCGGAGTCTGTAACCTGAAGCATCTGTAACCCGAGGTACCACTGTATAGCTAGATCCTATAAGCACCAGTGGTTCCTTTGAGCAGATCCTATCAGACTTTGCCTCTAAAGGTAAGGATAAGGATGTCTCTGAATACCACTTGATGGAGAACAACAGTGAGAGAGCACTATTGCACTCATGTCCCGTTTGTTGACTTCCCATAGGCACAAGTTGGCTACTGTAGGAGACAGATTGCTGGACTAGAAAAGCCTTGATGTGATCCAGCAAGGCTGGAGCCTGATCACCTCACCCCTTCATTTGTTGTTATTGGGTGCAACAGATTTAGCACACATCTACCCCTCTGAAAATTGTCTGTGTATAATTAAAGTTAGATACCACCCGTTATGTCTGTCAGAGGCCTGGGCACAACTGCATGTTTTTCTTTATTAATGTCATCATTTCTTTTGGAAAAGGTTTTCCTGGTTGTCACTCTCCTTCAGTGCTTCGTATCACACACCAAAGAATTATCTGGCCTCGTTGCTTGTCTTATCAAATGCACGCTACCAGCCACAGCCCTAATCTAATGTCACCCTATCACGCTTGACAAGTACTCATGCAGTAGATTGTAGCATGCTGATATAGAGAGCAGGAGGCCCTGGGGCTTATCAAACAAGAAGTGTCTACAGCCCACAGGTAAAAGAAAAGAAGGACACCCAGATAATTCACATACACAACCTATTCTCCTGTCAAAAAACATCTCAGAGTGAAACTTCCACAACATAGCCACTCAAAAGCAAGATTCCTGGCACTTACTAGCAAACCCATCTTCTCTAATATCCCATATTCATTTGCTGGACTTATTTACTAATTCTTAAATTTATTTATTTTTAATGCTGTGCAATAACACAAGGTGTCATCTGGAGGTATCTTCCAAAGTAATAAAAACCTGTCCTTAATACTCTTCAAAACAAGCACCGTGTATCATCTACCTGTTTGTTTTAGCATATCACACATGTTGGAAGTTTCACCAATTAAGTGGTGACCCATAAGAATGACAGAAAGTAAAGCAGGATTATAATCATTGACTTTACCTTCTGCTTAAATCAGTGGGATAAGAAATAGGGTCTCTCTTTTTTGGTAAACTCCATTATTTTATAAACTAGCAGAAACCAGGACAAAACTCTTCTAAATAAGCGGCTACAGAGTTTTTGAGGACAAAGGAATAATCCCACCTACCATGGTTTTCAGTTCAATCCAGTGTTCCCAAGAATGACTCTCAGGCTGTTTCTGGACAAGCCAAATTTATACTTACTACAGTCCTATTGCCCCCCGGGACTGCTTTGCATCACACCAGGAATTTGTCGTTTCCTGACATTCCCTCTGCCACCACCACCCCCTCCCTGCCCAACTAATTCAGAAGGATGTGACACACTGGAAACTGACTGGGGACAGTGCAGCTTGTATCGTATTCAGGAAACAATCCTTGCAAGTGAACATTATGTGTTCGCTTTTCCCAAAGCACATTTACAAATACATACACACACACTATTCCTGACTCAAAGGGAATGTAGTCATCTCCCAAAGGGAATACACTACCCTTCCTCTTCTTGAAATAACTGGTGACACTATGCTAGCCAGATGACTGAATCTTCAGAGTCTTATGTGAATGTAGAGAAAATAAGGTATGAGTTCAGCCAATCATCACAATTACTTTGGAAATGAAATGTTTTATAGAACTGCTGCTTTCTGATTGTCTGGGATGCACAGCAGGCGGGAGAGCAATCTGGCTTTTAAAAGAATAGTGCAAGCAGCTAGGGTAGTAGCTACCCTAATGACATCATGGAATTAGCAGGATGCACATGGATAAATGGTTGTGCGGTGGGTGGCCGTGGTAGATATTCTCTGGTGGCTGTGCTGACCAGCTACTGACTTGGGGAAGGGCCAGCCCTCAGGATTACAGCACCTACTTTGCATGCGGAAGCTGCTAGGTTCAGTCTCTGGCATCTCTAGGCAGGGCTGAAAGAGACATCTGCTGCAACCCTGGAGAGCCACTGCCTGTGACTGTGGACAGTACTGAGCAAGATGGCTCAATAGTCTGACCCGAGGTTCACGTTGAGAAGCCACACCACTGCACACCCATATTTTGTTTTTTGCAAGGCCACTGAAATGAGAGGCTTTCCCCCGCACAGCAGGTAGATGCTCTGCTATGGAGGAAAATGTTCTGGTTTAAAGTCACCCGCTACAATTCTCTGTATACAGATGGGGGCCTCCCATTTAACCCATCATCTCCCCCACAAAGCCAGTGCATGCTAGACAGCCTATGCTCTGCAACGAGCAGAAAGAAAGTGGATGCTTACAAAAGATTGCTTACAAAGCAATATTCCAGATGCAACAGAGCCATCCACATGCAGAAGGAGGACACTCACCTACGATGATAACTTCAGCTGGCAGACTAATCTTATCTACTCTATCTAGGGCATCAGGCAGAGAGGGGTGTTCTACAGCCCAAGATCCTGGAGCTGGTAGGAATTGAACCTGATAAATATATACATTATACACAGAGAGAGCTGGCCTTATAGGGAATCCGACCATTGGTCTACCTACCTCAATATTGTCTACACAGACTGAAAGCAACTCTCCAGGGCTCCTGGCGGGAGTTTCTCCCAGCCCTAGCTGGAGGCTCCAGGGATTATACCCAAGACCTTCTGCATGCAAAGCAGAGCTCTACTACTAAGCTAAGGCCCTTTCCTTAATCAAATGGAACTATTTGTAGACAGCTGTCAGATCCAAGTTTTCTGTTTTATTCTTCCAATCAATAGGATCCAATATAAAACAAACAAATGAAAAAAACTGAGGCACAACCATATTTAATCTCTGTGTTAATACAAGAAGCACTTACATAGTTATTTCTTCTTTATGTATTGCTCCCTTGTACATACAAACATGGAAATATAAAAATAAATCAGATGATGTTGATCTATAACACATATAATACATTTTCAGCCTACAATCTTCTGAAAATAAAAATCAGACAGACATCCTAAATCATGGAGAATAGTAAGATAAAGAGGATTCCTATTAGGAAATGTGCCTAAGAGGACAGGGCTGTGGACAGCAGATTTGAGGTGAGCACACTGTGGTACTGCTCAGGTCTAAATCGAGGGTTCCTTTGTCTCTTGCCAGACACTGAATTTGTTGTAGTACCAACAGGAAAGAAAAGGGATTTCATGTCTGTAACTCTGGAACTAATCTCTTGCAAAGAATAAATGCTGCCAGTACTAGTGTGTGGAATCCAAGACATAATAGCTTTTGTCTGTTTCGTCAGGGAAAGGGAAAGCTGTGCCGAACAGATCTAGAATACAAAAAAGGCAAAAAGAGCTGATTAAAGAACAGAATCGCAAATCTCAACAAATTCTAGCTGGTCCCTTTCACACTGCTATCCTTCAGTACACCTAAACCAATGGAAACTGTTCTGGCAACCATAAACAGCTCTTTTACAACAAATCTGCTCCCCCCAACCCTCCCCCCAATGTTTCCAGTAAGTGAAACCATAGTGGAAATGCAGCATAATCCCTTGATGGTGACGGCGTATAACCTCTGTGCAACTTTTGTGAAAACAGATCAGGACAATTGATCAATATACATTTTGTTTGGAAGCGACTGAAGTCAGACCTGCATAGCCTAAAACTTCACTTCCTATAGGTTGGTAGCTGTTAAGCATGTGAAATAATGGTGCCAATTTGAAGCAAGCCTCTCTGCCAAATTTGGGGGGTCTGTCTAAGTGGAAGCCCAAAATTTCACCCAAAATTCAGTCCAAGGCAGAGTTCAGAACCAGCCCTTATAAACCTCTGCAAAAAAAATGAGGTAGGCCTAAGTTTGAGGTCAGTGAATTTGAAGAGAAGTGAAAATGAACTTACTTTGAACTTATATTTCTTCCTTTTCACACAGGCTGTCCTGCAGAATTCAAGATGGGGAGAAGATTATATGGGTCTACATCCAAAACAAGAACTGTCCAATTCTGACACACTGAGCTTCCTCAGTTGATGAGGGGAAAGGGTCCTCATCTGCCCACCTCCACCTGTCTCCTTAGAGTGGCTGCTTTCTGGCTATTGGGATGAAAGTCCCTGTTCACTTTTGCAGTTTGTACATTCCAAGTGGGTTTGTCTTGACTAGAAGCATCATATTATTGGATTATTTGCTCCAGGTAGCACTGCCATGCCTCATTAATAAATAACAACAACAACAACAACAATAACAACATGTATCTGGTGGGAGCAGCAGAAAGGTTTTTATGGGAGGCTTCCCCATCCACTGAGCTTTGTCCTACCCACTAGTGTGCATGGAATATAGCAGGATGCACACATTAAAAGAGTGTACACACACACACACACAAATCCACTTGTAGCTCTCAGCAGAAAAAAATGATTGGATAACTGTATGCATCTGGAGCTTTCATCATTCCTGGTCATTGCCCATATTGGCTGGGACTGGTGGGAGTTGAAGTCCAATAAGATCTGAAGGGCCCCAGGTCACTGCCCTAAAGATTGTGATGGGGGTGGGTGGGATGGAGGGCTGTGCCCTGCAAGATGAAATGAGCCACCTTATAGAGGCTTAGGAACAAGAGGGACAAGCATCGAGTTGCTGGGAATGTTTGGTGAGGTGAAAAAGACCAAATTTACCATATTGATTCAAACTAACCAGCTAAACAAATATTGACTGTTCATGTCTAGTGTATAATGTTTTAGGCTTTTGGAACACATGAATGTGAGGATCATTTACTGACCTCCTGCTTCTTCCATTCCAGATGCGGTCCCCTCTTCATCTCCTAGACAAAACATATGTTAAATGTCAAAGCAAGATTTCCTATGTGTTTCACTGAGCCATGCCAAATCTTATTAAAAGAAACAAAGCACAGTGGTACCTTGGTTTACAACCATAATCCGTTCCAGAGGTCCGTTTGTAAACCAAAACAGGTTGTAACTCAAGGCGCGCTTTCACCAATGGGCCTCCAAAAAAAATTTGTTCATAATCCAAAAAAAAAGAATGGGTTGTAATTAAAAAAAAAAAAGTTGCAAACCAGGACACGCACATCCGGGTTTGACGTGTTTGTAATCCAAAACGTATGCAAACCAAGGTACCACTGTATACTTGCTCGATAGTGTTCACTGGTATCGCAAGCCCCCAAATAGCACAGAACTCGAGAAGAGTTTTGTCAATGTCCCACAGGAAAGTCAATGAATATAGTAGATATAGTGAACTTTCTAGACCAGAGGTTCCCAAACCTATTTGGCCTACCGCCCTTTGTTCGGGTGGGGGAATCAGCCCCCCCCCCCAGTAACATACACAGCACACTCCTTCCTGACAACAGACTTCCCAACAATGTGCGACACGCTCGCCTGCCAGCAGTTGCTTGTCAAGACGTGTTGGAGGACTGGCCCCTAAATGGGATTCCCTGCGAGTAGGGGGGCGCTTCTGGTGCCCTGCCGAACCCCACGTTCCCAGGCTTCCTCTGCCTGGGATTTCTAGCGGGTCCCCACCTTCGCCGCGGCGGGAAGACCCAGTTTCCACGGAGCCCGTTCCTCCGGATGGAGGAACTCCGCCATTCACCGATGGCGCTGACCTGGAAGTCCTGATTTATCATTTAAATACAAAGAAATAAAATAGTTGAATCTCGCTTCTGGGTTCTATCATGATTTAACTGTCATGGCTTCCTCCAAAGAATTCTGGGAAATTATCCTTTAATGAAAGATTCCCTCATTTAACACTACAGTTCCCAGGGTTCTCTGACATGGCAGAATCATAACAATTGTGAGGAACAAAATCTCAGCAGTGGGTGAATCCCCTACAAGTGAGGAAGGAGAGGAAGGGGTGCCTGGGTGTGATCAGGGGAAACCGTTATTTCAGTTGCAGGCTTAGTAGCAGCAGAGCATGGAAAGTAAGAGTTTATGCCTGTATACTATACCCGTCAACTGCCCCATTTAAGCTGGACATTCCAGAATCACAGAAGCCAATCCTAAACTAAAGATCCCAGGATTCTTGGGGAAAACTCATGCATTTAAATGTGCTTTAAATACAGGGTGTGTCCACAGCCTCAGTCTGTTTGCGCACAAATAGATGACAATATCTTTTCTACTTACCAGGGGTCTCTATTTTACATCCAAACACCTGGACTTCACAAAGCGTGAGGTATTCTTTCCTAGGTAGGGTAACAGTCACATACTGCCCCTTTGATGCTTCACAGTTAAAGCTGCCTATTTCCCCAGCACCCAAAGAACCTATTGTAGCACATCTAGAAAAGAACCAAATCATATATTATTATTATTATTATTATTATTATTATTATTATTTTAAAAAATAGCATTAAACAGTAATGGAAGAATTTTTTTCAGCAACCTGAACTCACATGAAAAAGTCAGAAAAGAAAGCAAATATTTGCTATGTTTTCAGAAATCAAACGGCAAGAGATCTGTCTGGAACATTTGCACCCCATTGTCCTCCCTGTGCCATAATGCTGTAAAGCCGGGATGCCAGAAAATGTTGACAAACTAGAAGTGGAAATGGCCAGTGTTGACAAATTCACCCCATGAGAGGAACAGAAATTGATCTAGTGGATATGATCAGTATTTGCTGATCAATCCAAAACCAGAATGTAATTGACTACATCATGTTCCCCGATTTGCATTGCATTTCCATTCCAATGAAATGATAGAATCATAGAACAGCAGAGTTTGAAAGGACTATGAGGGTCATCTAGTCCAACCCCCTGCAATTTAGGAATCTTGAACCCATGAGCCTGAGATTAAAAGTTTCGTGTACTACTGTCGGAGCTATGCTGGCATGGCATAACAGGACAGTGTAACCTGCCTAATATACATACTAAATTACATAACTTAGGTAGTTTTGCCACAGCAAACAGCAAGACAAAGTAAGTTAGCTTTTGGCAGAAAGCGAACTGCTGTGGAATGGAAACAGTCCTGCATGTGGCGAAAACAGGGCAGAACAGAAAAGCGTACCTCATGACATCTCTATATGTAAGGAAAGGATGGGGAACCCATGGCCCTCCAGATATTGTTGGACTCCACCTCCCACCTGCTTGAACTCAACATAGACAATGGATCAAGATGATGGGAGTGGTACTCCAATAACACCTGGGGGGCCTCAGCTTCCCCTTCCCTGGCTACAAAGCATCCGATCTGTATACAGTACCTAGGATTTGTGGTGCCTCCACTCTCTGCGGAGTCCCCAACTCGGATTTCAGCCCCATTAAGACGGTGAGCACAGCAGTCTTTCCGATTGGTGATGGTGACACGGAGTACTTGATATTGTGCCTTCAAGTCTACCATCCACCATGGATTATTTTCAGAATCTGTGTGGGTGCAGGATCCCTGGTTAAAATCCCTGGCTGGGTACCCGTCAATGGCATTTCTAGCTGCTCCTAGCGAGCTGTAGGTACTGGATTGTGAAGCTTCTCCGGCGAGGGCCACATTGGTGTCTGAAAGAAAAACAGGGGAAAGTTTCCATTTTGTTGCTGTTGTGCTTCCACCACTGAACTGCAAGGCAGGAAAAACTAAGAGAGCTGAATTAATTCTTAATTAATGCTCTCGCCATGCTCTCAGCAGGTGCCTAAAAACATGTGAGATCACAATCGTATGTGAGGTCCTAGGGCCCAAAAATGTGCATCCCAGTTTTCAGCCTCAACATGTTGGAGGGTATGATTTTTGTCTGGTGCTGAAACAAAATCTCAGCAGTGGGTGAATCCCCTGCAAGTGAGAAAGGGGAGGGAAGGGGAGCCTGGGTGTAATCAGGGGAAACTGTTATTTCAGTTGCAGGCTTAGTAGCAGCAGAGCATGGAAAGTAAGAGTTTATGCCTGTATACTGTACCCATCAACTGCCCCATTTAAGCTGGACATTCCGGAATCACAGAAGCCAATCCTGGCTTCTGTTTGATTGCCGGATCTCTCCGTTTTTGGTCCAGCGCTCTGCAGAGAGTCCTCATGCCACAGCGCCAGACCAAAAGACTCTCACTCTGGTGCTTGTGAGCATGGTGACCTCAGAGTGCCAAGGTCCGGCACTAGGTCACCACCCTGCAGAGCCCATCGCCCAGCCCTTCCTGGCTCGCTTTTAATAGCCAGGATGGACAAGGATCAAGGAGACAGGTGGTCAGTTTCACTTGTCCAAGCAGCCTGTCCGCATCCTTGGAGGTAACAGATTGGAATCGATCCTATACAACTTGACTAGACAAGACTCTAGCACTCTTCTGCCCCAGCCCTGCTCCTAGGGTGGAAGGTGGAGTCTACCTCCTTCCAACTCTGCAAACTTTGCAGACTTTATCCGCAAAAAATTTTGCAAAATCATTGCAGGAGATATTGGGGTCCTTACCAGGCCCCAACGGCAAAGGTGGTTCCGTTAGATTGCAAACCACCTGAAAGAGTCTCCTGCTGCTGTTTTCTGCAGATGAAAGGTCCTATACGGTGTCACTATTGCCACTTGGTAGGCTCAATGTTCAGCTCTAACCCATGTCTGGTCTAATTCAAAATGAGATTTCCACCACTGGCCGTCTAGCCATTTCAGCGATTGTTTCATCGCCCTCAACTCTGGGGAAACCATGGGACTGTCCAGGCTCCATGTAATCGGGGAGGGTGCTTCAGAGCCAAACAGTCAATAGCCCTGGTTAAGTCCACATTCTAGCAGGCCACCAGGGAATCAGCTGAAAGACCATCAACATGGAATAAAACATTCCCTACCGCTCTCTGGAAACCATTTGGATCCATTAAGTGGTGGGGGCGGACCATACAAATTAGCCCCACCTCCCTGCAAATGGGAAGGGTCATGGAGAAGTCCAGTTGCACCAGAAAGTGATCCGAGCATGGAACTTCTTTTGTTTTGCTTTTCCTTAGTGTCAGATCACCCACATTCATAGAGGTGAACACTAGGTCTAAGGCATGTCCGCGACTATGAGTTGGGTCAAACTTATTCAGGGACAGCTCCATGGAGGTCATACTTTGCATGAAGTTCTGAGGGGCCCCTTATAAGATCGTGTCGGCATGAATGTTAAAATCCCCTAGGACAACCAAACTAGGTGTCTCTAGGACAACATCCGCCACGACCTGAAGCAGCTTGGACAGGGAATCTTTGGTGCGGCAGGGAGGTCAGTACAGCAAAAGGAATCCTGTACTGCCCCTATTGCTCACCTTCCAGAACATGCACTCAGAAAACTGGGTCTTCCCAATAGGACACCTGGTGTAAGCTAATGACTTTCTAAATATCACTGCAGCACCCACCCGCCCATATGTCCTGGGTTGCTGTGCGTAAGAGAAACCTGGTGGACAAGAAGCAAGGACAGGCCCATCTGCTTCATCCAACCACATGCCAGGTTAAGTCCTCCGTCCACGACCAAGTCGTGGGTGACAACCGTCTTGTGAATCATTCACCTGGCATGTGGGTCATGTGGGTCTCCCTTGTTGATTCCAGTATCCTTCTGGTCTAGACCAGACCTGGAGGCAGGGATAGACTTCAAACAATGACTAAACTTGCCTCCTCAGTAATGACATGGTCTGGTCTTAGCACAATTCCTCCTCCTACTTGTGATCACTCAGAATGGGTGTCCCCGTGCATCCCCCCCCCTCCACGGAACGGGCCCCAACCATTCTGTTGGTGTGTCCACAGCCTCAGTCTCTTTGCACACAAATAGATGACAATATCTTTTCTACGTACCAGGGGACTCTATCTTCCGTCCAAAAACCTGGACTTCACAAAGCGTGAGGTATTCTTTCCTAGGTAGGGTAACAGTCACATACTGCCCCTTTGATGCTTCACAGTTAAAGCTCCCTGTTTTCCCAGCACCCAAAGAACTTATTGTAGCACATCTAGAAAAGAACCAAACCATTTTATATATATATATATAAAAATAGCATTAAACAGTAATGGAAGAATTTTTTTCAGCAACCTGAACTCACATGAAGAAGTCAGAAAAGAAAGCAAATATTTGCTATGTTTTCAGAAATCAAATGGCAAGAGGTCTGTCTGGAACATTTGCACTCCATTGTCCTCCCTGTGTCATAATCCTCTAAAGCAGGGATGCCAGAAAATGTTGACAAAATAGAAGTGGAAATGGCCAATGTTGACAAATTCACCCCATGAGAGGAACAGAAATTGATCCAGTGGATATGATCAGTATTTGCTGATCAGTCCAAAAACAGTATGTAATTGACTACATCATGTTCCCCGATTTGCATTGCATTTCCATTCCAATGAAATCACAGAATCACAGAACAGTAGAGTTTGAAAGGACTATGAGGGTCATCTAGTCCAATCCCCTGCAATTTAGGAATCTTGAACCCATGAGCCTGAGATTAAAAGTCTCATGTACTACTGTCAGAGCTATGCTGGCATGGCAGAACAGGACAATGAAACCTGCCAAATATACATACAGTGGTACCTCGGGTTAAGTGCTTAATTCATTCCGGAGGTCCGTTCTTAACCTGAAACTGTTCTTAACCTGAAGTAGCACTTTAGCTAGTGGGGCCTCCCGCTGCCGCTGCACGGTTTCTGTTCTCATCCTGAAGGAAAGTTCTTAACCCAAGGTACTATTTCTGGGTTAGCGGAGTCTGTAACCTGAAGCGTATGTAACCTGAGGTACCATTGTACTAAATTACATAACTTATGTAGTTTTGCCACAGCAAACAGCAAGACAAAGTAAGTTAGCTTTTGGCAGAAAGCGAACTGCTGTGGAATGGAAACAGTCCTGCATGTGGCGAAAACAGGGCAGAACAGAAAAGCGTACCTCATGACATCTCTATATGTAAGGAAAGGATGGGGAACCCATGGCCCTCCAGATATTGTTGGACTCCACCTCCCAACTGCTTGAACTCAAGATGATGGGAGTGGTACTCCAATAACACCTGGGGGGCCTCAGCTTCCCCTTCCCTGGCTACAAAGCATCCAATCTGTATACAGTACCTAGGATTTGTGGTCCCTCCTCTCTCTGTGGAGTCCCCAACTCGGATTTCAGCCCCATTAAGACGGTGAGCACAGCAGTCTTTCCGATTGGTGATGGTGACATGGAGTACTTGATATTGTGCCTTCAAGTCTACCATCCACCATGGATTATTTTCAGAATCTGTGTGGGTGCAGGATCCCTGGTTAAAATCACTGGCTGGGTTCCCGTCAATGGCATTTCCAGCTGCTCCTATCAAGCTGTAGCTACTGGATTGTGAAGCTTCTCCGGCGAGGGCCACATTGGTGTCTGAAAGAAAGACAGGGGAAAGTTTCCATTTTGTTGCTGTTGTGCTTCAACCACTGAACTGCAAGGCAGGAAAAACTAAGAGAGCTGAATTAATTCTTAATTAATGCTCTCGCCATGCTCTCAGCAGGTGCCTAAAAACATGTGAGATCACAATCGTATGCAAGGTCCTAGGGCCCAAAAATGTGCATCCCAGTTTTCAGCCTCAACATGTTGGAGGGTATGGTTTTTGTCTGGTGCTGAAACAAAATCTCAGCAGTGGGTGAATCCCCTACAAGTGAGAAAGGGGAGGGAAGGGGAGCCTGGGTGTAATCAGGGGAAACTGTTATTTCAGTTGCAGGCTTAGTAGCAGCAGAGCATGGAAAGTAAGAGTTTATGCCTGTATACTGTACCCATCAACTGCCCCATTTAAGCTGGACATTCCGGAATCACAGAAGCCAATCCTGGCTTCTGTTTGATTGCCGGATCTCTCCGTTTTTGGTCCAGCGCTCTGGAGCGAGTCCTCATGCCACAGCGCCAGACCAAAAGACTCTCACTCTGGTGCTTGTGAGCATGGTGACCTCAGAGTGCCAAGGTCCAGCACTAGGTCACCACCCTGCAGAGCCCATCGCCCAGCCCTTCCTGGCTCGCTTTTAATAGCCAGGATGGACAAGGATCAAGGAGACAGGTGGTCAGTTTCACTTGTCCAAGCAGCCTGTCCGCATCCTTGGAGGTAACAGATTGGAATCGATCCTATACAACTTGACTAGACAAGACTCTAGCACTCTTCTGCCCCAGCCCTGCGCCTGGGTGTAATCAGGGGAAACTGTTATTTCAGTTGCAGGCTTAGTAGCAGCAGAGCATGGAAAGTAAGAGTTTATGCCTGTATACTATACCCATCAACTGCCCCATTTAAGCTGGACATTCCGGAATCACAGAAGCCAATCCTAAACTAAAGATCCCAGGATTCTTGGGGGAAAGTCATGCATTTTAATGTGCTTTAAATACAGGGTGTGTCCACAGCCTCAGTCTCTTTGCACACAAATAGATGACAATATGTTTTCTACTTACCAGGGGACTCTATCTTAGATCCAAACACCTGGACTTCACAAAGCGTGAGGTATTCTTTCCCAGGTAGGGTAACTGTCACAAACTGGCCCTTTGATGATTCACAGTTAAAAGTTTCTGTTTCCCCAGCACCCAAAGAACTTATTGTAGCACATCTAGAAAAGAAACAAAATCATTAAAAAAAAAAGAATAGCATTAAACAATAATGGAAGAATTTTTTTCAGCAAAAAACCCTACATAGAATCATAGAACAGTAGAGTTGGAAAGGACTATGACGGTCACCTAGCCCAAACATCTGCAAATTAGGAATCTTTTGTCCAGTGTGGGTCTGGAACTCATGAGCTGAAGATTTAAAGTCTCATGCTCTACTGTCAGAGCTATGCTGGCGTGGCATAACAGAACAATGCAACCTACGTAATTTACATACTCAATTATATAAATTACATAAGTTATGTAGTTGTTAGGAGTCCAGGTTCGCGGCTTGATAACATAGTAAGCGTAAGTAATTAAAAAGGAGGATTTATTGCAAAAAAAGCCAAGCAATTATTTCCGGACGGCCCTAACAAACCTCCAGCCCCCATCACTGAGTTGACCTTTCTGAGGGGTTCTTCCTGTGTCAACAGAAGAGATTGAGCCTTCGACTTGTCTAGGAGCCTTCCTATATGCCTACACCTCGGACTTACTTAGTCAGCTGCAGCCCCTTCCTGTTCCAAAAAGCTGTCTCTGTGACTTTCCACGCCTGTTTGGGCTTCCAGGGAGCTTTGGCTGTGTTCCAGCCTGCTCTCCGTTCCTTCCTTATCAGCCAGCCATCCAAGATCAGGGGGACTTGATGCTGGCAGCTGCGGGCTCTCCTATGGCAGCATGAAAGCCCAGCCCCCCTGTCCAGACTGCATTCTGCAGCCAGCTGCAAGATTACACTTGGAGCTGGTGTGTTCATGACAGAAGTTTTGCCACAGTGGAAAGCAAAACATAATAACATAGCTTTTGGCAGACAGTGAACTGCAGCAGACAATGAACTGCATGTGACGAAAACAGGGCAGAACAGAAAATCATACCTCACAACTTCTCTACATGAAAGGAAGATATAGGAAACCCATGGCCCTCCAAATATTGTTGGACTCCAACTGCCACCTGCTTGAACCAACATAGACAATGGATCAAGATGATGGGAGTGGTACTCCAATAACACCTGGGGGGCCTCAGCTTCCCCTTCCCTGGCTACAAAGCATCCGATCCGTATACAGTACCTAGGATTTGTGGTGCCTCCACTCTCTGCGGAGTCCCCAACTCGGATTTCAGCCCCATTAAGACGGTGAGCACAGCAGTCTTTCCGATTGGTGATGGTGACACGGAGTACTTGATATTGTGCCTTCAAGTCTACCATCCACCATGGATTATTTTCAGAATCTGTGTGGGTGCAGGATCCCTGGTTAAAATCACTGGCTGGGTTCCCGTCAATGGCATTTCCAGCTGCTCCTATCGAGCTGTAGCTACTGGATTGTGAAGCTTCTCCGGCGCGGGCCACGTTGGTGTCTGAAAGAAAGGGGAAAGTTTCCATTTTGTTGCTGTTGTGCTTCAACCACTGAGCTGCAAGGTAGGAAAAACTAGGAGAGCTGAATCAATTCTTAACCCATTCACATAAATTCTAACCTATCCACACCAGTTTTTCCCGCAATTGCCTGGCATAAGTAGACACAGGTCCAGGCAGGGCTTTATTTTGCCCCGTTGCTTTAGTGGGAAAACTCACTGTTTACCTCTAAATCAAAACAAAAGTCAAATGGGTTTCCTGCAGTGGGACCACACACACACACCCCACTCACTTGGACTCATGCCTACAAATCACATACCTCTGCCTAGAAATCGTGGCACAAACAAAAGTGAGGATGGGTCCTCGTTCTTTGTTAGGAAACCTTCCAGTGCAAAATAAAACCAGAAGTGTAATGAAGCTGGCTAAACCTATGTCATATTCTACTTGCGGTTACTGCAACAAACAGCACAAAAGGCGCGTACTCCAACCAAACAAAAAGATTAGCATCACCTCCAAGTGTCCCTGTTTTTCGGGGACAGTTCTGGAATTACAAAAGCCATGCTAGCTGGGGATCTGATCCCTGAATGTCCCTAATCCCCCGTCAGGGCTACCGCTGCTGAGCTTGGAGAGGAGCACGAGCTGGAGGTTGTTCAGAGCAGTGGCAGTAGTGGCGGCGGCAGTGGCAGCTCTGCAGGAACATCCTGTTGCCTCTCTGGTGTCTCTCCAGGGACTCTCTGTGGCTGCTGTTGCTGGCCTTTTCTCTTGGGCAGTTTGCAGCAGTTGCAGGAGGGCGGGTCAGGAGGAGAGGCTGCTGCCACCCTAAAATCCAGCTTCATGTAGCGAGTTGGCTATCAGGACCATTCAGGGAGGAATGAAAGGGGGAGTGGAGCAGGGTGCACGGAGTCTTGATTTTTAAGATGCTTTGTCCATCCACGTCTAACATTGCCCCTTTCTAAAAGTTATTAATTGGTATATGTTTTTCTTTTTGTAAATCTTCCAAAGATTGAAATAAGATTACATTGGAATTAGAGGGTGTCCCTCGGGGGTAGAGGAATGGGGTCAATTGTTAGGGGGACTGAGAAATGTTCCTGTTTTCATTTGAGGAATGTTGAAGGGTATGGGTTAGTTGTGCCTAAGACTGCATTCTTGTACTCACTTACCTGGAGTAAATCTTGAACTCAATGAGCTTTACTTCAGTGACACTAAAAGCCCATTGAAACCAAAGGAACAAGTTAGTTGTGACTAATGCAACTTCCATTGTCATTAAACTAACCCCTGAGCAAACATGGTTAGAATCTCCCCCTGAGTCCTATTAAATTCAGTGCAGCTTACTCTGAGGTAAAGAGGTTAGGAGTGCTGCCATTAGTTCCCATAATTGTTGCTGAAAAGCTGTAACCCATATTCAAACGAGCCCCGGGTGGCAAAAGCTGGCGGGCAACAGCAGTTCCCAAAGAAGAGGGCACATTGAGTGCTTTGGGAATTTGTCTTGAGCCTGATTAACTACTGTTAAGAAATATTTCTTAACCAAAACAGAGGCCCAGATCTAAAGGCAAGCAGTCACATAGGAAGCCCTACTGATATTGACAGGATAGCAATAAGTCGCAATTAACTTGTCATATTCTTTTCCAGTGGGAATTAAGCCAGCCTTCTATGGCTTTGCACCAGTGAATATTGGGGAGGAAGGAAAAATAGGGGGAATGACACCCAATTCTTGGTAACGCACCTTCCAATGCAGGCCGTGTAGGCAGGATGGTCAAGAGCATCAGCAAAAGGCAGCATCTCACAGTCCTTCCTCGAAGCATTGTGTCCTTTTTGGGCAAGGCTCAGGAGACAAGACTTATAGAGAGAGAGAAGCGCTCTTGACTTGAGTGCTGACAAGAGAGTGGAAAGGAGGTTATTAAACTGCCCGGGATGCTGCTCTCCTCCAATCAGAAAACTGTTCATAACAAAGACCACTCAAAGTTTCCTTTCAATTTTGTGGTCAAAGCAAATATTTGACCTCTTGCCAGTTATTACAACATGAGGAGATTTGGTTGATAAGGGGCAGGGTCTGAGGTAAATGAGACAAAATAGCAGAAAGAGTACATGAACCATGGTCTTAAATGAAAATAAATAGGAGTTTGGTTATTTCTTTCAAAGCAAAGTTGTTGTTGTTTAGTCATTTAGTCGTGTCTGACTCTTCGTGACCCCATGGACCAGAGCACTCCAGGCACTCCTATCTTCCACTGCCTCCCGCAGTTTGGTCAAACCCATGGGTAACTTCGAGAACACTGTCCAACTGTGGATCACTGCCTTGCTGTGGTGAAGGGGCTTGATTAACTCAGAGAAGCTATGAGCTATGCTGTGCAGGACCACCCAAGATGGACAGGTCATAGTGGAGAGTTTTGACCAAACGTGATCCACCTGGAGCAGGAACCGGCAAGCCACTCAAGTATCCCTGCCAAGAAAACTCCATGGAAAAAGACAAAAGACAAAGCAAAGTTACACAAACACTATATCGCACCACAAGAAGATCCCTCCAGCTCCAAACCTATATAGAGCTGTGTCATGTGAAGCATCTAACACCTGTTCTGGGTTTAGCTATCTCGATAATGTCACACCAATTCTTGACTGGCAATGATGGTTGCCGGTCTGTTTCAGTACCCAATTCAAAGTGCTGTTTTTAACCTTTAAATCCATTAGCAGCCTTTGGAGCAGATTACCTAAGAAGGATCACATGCTTTCCCAACCAAGAGACCTTCTTGGCTGTGAGTCGTGGAAGACCTGCTCTCTGCCTTGCAGTCCTTTTTCTGCCTGGCCTGAGACAACGGGACCTGCACTAATGCCCGCTGTAGAAGCTGAGGCTACTGAACAGACTCTTGGGCTGGGGCGTTTTCTCGGGGGTTCGGTTGTTGTTACTGAAACTGCCAGCCTGCAACAGCAGCCACACCCCGGAAATGGTGTTCACTGGCCGGCTAAACCAGGTCAAGGGTAGATGATGGGTTTCAAACCCTTGGTGTGTTAGGGACTCCCTGGCATATGAAGATAGGCTCTTGTGGATTGAGTGGATAGGATTAATACACATATTGGCAAGTGAAAAGGAGAAAGCTGAGTTTGCTCCACAACTCTCAAGTTTCTAATTAGTTCTAACTGTTTCAACCTTTTGTTAAGTAGTTTTAACTTGTCTCATCGATATTTTACAGAATGCAGACCAGAGGACAAAAGTCTGGATTTCATCTGTCCTGGAGGTCTGGGTTTTTTCCCCCTTTTTAATTTTTCTTTTTGCATTTTTCAGTTACATACATATTCATTTCTTTCTCTGTGTTTTTCTAGTTTATCTTATCACCTCTTCTAAATGTCTAATAGAGCATCTAATACAATAATAGGCATCTAATACAACAATGAAACATCTCTAATCAGATCCTATCATATGAAGACTTCCCAGGCTATCTTTCCTTGACAGCCTAGATTTTCCTTTCATTTTGCTGCAACTCCTTAGTTTATATTTTCTTTTTGTCCTGTACCTATCCTTTTACTCTTTTAAAGAAACTGGTGTTCAAAAATCTATCCCTGCTTGTATATTTATCATTATTCCACTCTTTTTAAAATTGTAGCTGTCAAACAAGCTACGGTAAATTGTATTAGTTTCAACATCCACTGATCTTTTGTCAGAATTGTTCTTTCTTTCCACATTTTTGCATATGTTATCCTTGCCTCTGCTGTTGCATAGAGGAATAGGTTTTTTAGTTTTGTTTGGGAGTTCCTGTCCTATTAGGGCTAGCAGGAATGCTTCTGGTTTTGGGGAGAATGAACATTTGAGCATCTTCATAAGTTCTTCATGAATCATCCCCCAAAACGCTTTTGCGCTTTTGCACTGCCACCACAAGTGGATTAACATGCCTTCTGCATCCATACATATCCAGCATTGGTTAGATCCTCTTTTATTTATCTTTACCAATTTTCTGGGCATCAGGTAACACCTAAAAAGCATCTTTATTATATTTTCTCCAAATGTATAGCATGCTGAAATTTTAACCGTATTATTCCATAATTTATCCCAATCTGCCAGGTCTATATTATATCCAAAATCTGCAGCCCAGTCAATCATTGCCGCCTGGAAGTCTGTTTTAATGAATTTTAAACCCATAAGAACTCCGTTTGTCTGTGGAGTACAGAGACTGGGTGGTGTGACGTGTTACTCTCTACCTATTATTGCTATAATTTACCATTTCCTTCAAGTAAGAAAGCCGTTGAGTGTTGTAACATCTTGCACAAATTTGCTTTGCTCAAGAGAAAAACCTGTCCTGTCTGGAGTTTAGCAACTAGGCTGGGAGTTGCTGGAAGGAATTAAAGGAATTAAAGGCAAAGGATTCTGCCCTATAGTTCAGTTCAAAATATTAAGTGAAGTAGATCCATCTGATATGGTGGTTACAAGAATGCAAAAAGAAAAAGATTGGAACAAGTTAAGCAAGCCAGACAAAGCCAAACCAACAAAGGAAGCTATCAAAATATTTCTCTCCCATTGATAGGACTCCCTCAAAGCAGGAAAGTACTACTCCTCTGGTGCAAGGAATCTCCATGCACTGTGAAATTGTGTAGAGCTTAGAAAAGAGAATGAGTGCTTTCCCTCTTCTCCCTCTGTTGTGTGAAGATGCCAGCACACGGGAAGCTGTTCAGGATCTTTTGTCATGGAACTGTCCCTGATCATAGCTGTCAACCTCTCCTTTTTTTGTGGAACATTCCCTTATTCCAGCACCGTTTCCCGCTGCTTCCCCCTGCTATCCCTGATTGTTAGATATCCCGTAGACTGTCCCTGGGACAGGTAAGGCTGCAGATCCCTTAATTTCAAATCTGAAAGTTGACAGCTCTGTCCCTGGTTCCCCATGGCTAATTCTCCACAGCCTTACCTGCTGTCTAGCTTGAACAAATCAGTTATGTTAACACAGTGATAAAAGGCTCCCAACTCAGGAAAGCCCAAGAGTCCAGTCTCGTGCCCTGAGGGCTTGGTTTTTTTGCCATTTGTGTATACCTGTGATGTGTATAACGATTTAACGATATGTGCTATGTTTTTGAGACCCTTTTGTTTACTTTTGCTTTCAGAGATCGGAGTGGCTTGCAGCAGTATATTGGGCAAAATGACATACAAAGGGATGTCTATTAAGAGAAATCCATGCAAAAATGTTGATGAATTATTGTGGGGACTTGTTTTTTAAAAATTATCAAAGTGATATGAAGATCTGAAATTAACAGGGCTGCCAACGGGCAATATAGTGGGTACACATGTACCAGGCCCCCAACCCAGCAAGGGTACTGAATTCTTAACTTCCATCTTTAAAAAGGTAAGCCAATCAAACATCTATAAAGAAAGCTAGAAAGCAAAATGTGGAGGCAACAATTAGGGGGATACAGAGAAGCTGCTATTGCCAAGAATGCTCAATAACTTAATCTCTGTTGTTAAGCTATCAGAGGAAGGAATGCTGACCACCCCTACCTGGGACTCCTAGATGGCCTCCAAGGGCGGCAGGAAAAAAAGAGGAATATCTTGTTATTCCTGCTAGTCTGGCACTGGATGAAGAGATTAGCTGTATGCATGTTTAAGTGCTGTCCTGCATGTCCACATTATTTCATTCAATCCCCAAGTGTCCTGCCTTTACAGTGGAAAACACAACTGGCTGTTTTTGGTATGATTTACTATATTTACTCAAAACTAATGCGCACCCTTTTTTGCCCAATTACATTGTGAAAATTACTGTGTGCATTAGATTCAATAGCAAATTACATTCGAGTAAATATAGTAGTTTTGCAGGCCATGATTGATCAGGCCTTGGTCCCCAAAAGCCTCTCCCTGAGATTCCTGCCTTCATAAGTGCCTGAGCACCCAGAAAATTGTCCATGAAGCTGCTGGACAACCTTTGATAGAGCAAGCAAGGGAAAGCCGGCTTTCCCCTCCACGAGACCCTCCCCTTCTGGCTCCATCAGCATGGTTCGTTTTTTGTTGTTGTTTTTTAAGGGAGATTGCACACAGAGAGATTTTTTTTAAAATGAACATACAGACACAACCAACTAACCAATCCTTTTCTTAAAACTCGCTTACAACAAAGGTAGCAGCGGTAAAGGCGTGACAGATCAGAAGCCCCCCGGGCCAGGCTGTCCAATCAGCGCTCAAGCCAGCTCCAGGCAGCCTTCCATTTGGGAATGTTGATACAGCAGAGGGGAGCAGAGAGAAATGTGTTTGTGTGTGTGTGTATTTTAAAACCTGGCTCCCTCCACTTGCACAAGTTCTGAGAGGGGCGGGGGAAGGAGAAGGAGGAGGAAAAGCGGAATGCAGTGCAGGTAGCAGGCTGACTGAAACTCGTTATAAAAAGTGCACATTTTGCCGATGCACACTACATTCACCAGCAAATACGTTTTTTGTTTCTTTTTTATTTTTCTTTCTTTTATTAGTTTTCCAGATTTTAACAAATCAGTCCATATTTTTTAAATTTTATACAATTTTTTAAATAATTTCCCATATGTGTTTCAAACATATGTCCAGTTCCTCCTTTTGTTGCTACATTCCTTCTTCTTTTCATCGCCTTCACGTCCTTCTGCTAGTTTTAATCCATTGTCATAGCTGGCCTTGATTATTTCCATACAGTCAGCACCACTGTGGTTTCCCAAACATCTAGAAATCCATTTCGTGCATGCAGCCCTTCTGGCACTCTGTTCCCAGACCTGGTGTGTGAAGAGATCAACTGCCCTCGTTGTCTATCCATTTACAGTCCACTCCTTAGAAAACATTCCTTACGTTGTTCAAGGACAAGCTGAGCTACAAATAACTCCC